GGTGATATCACACGTTCGATTCTCTAACATGAGCGATATTTCCGTCTCTTCGCGTATTTCGGCGATCTGGCAGTTAACGGTACGAATTCGCGACCCGTTATTCTGCCTAGTTGGTATCCTAAACTGTCGTATAATTTCGATTCCTTCCCGACCAAAGATCGTACGGTTCGAGCCGGGATCGACGAGGGCTTGAAGGGGTCGCCCGTGCACGAATACTTTAAAATACAATAACGGCGTTAACCGGGAGCAATCAAGAGCACCGTACTGCCGGTACAATCCGGTATCGGGATCCCTATTGCAATTTCAGAAGTCGCAGAGACCCGTCCTACTGACTCCCTTTTTCGTTTCCCGAGCATGAGGGGCACGTCTTGACGGTGAAATTCACTTTCCCGCAGCGGTAGCAATGCAAGCGCTGCGGTTCTTTACATTTGCGTGCAACGTGTCCCGTTTTCTCGCAATTCCAACATTTGATGTTAACGCGCGAACCTGCAGTCATCGCGACGGTGGCCGTCTCGGTTGCCGGATCGGCTGCAGGGGTTGCGGTCGCCGTGCTTTTACGCGATTCTCCGGATGCCTTCCCCTTCTGCGGTCCGCGCGCATCAACGCCGGCAGCAACTGCAACCGTTGCAGTTCGCTGCTCTTTTTTCGGTAGCCTGTATGCCAGTTCGGGGAAGATGGACTGTTCCGCGGTCGGAGGCGCGCGATGCGTTTTGACGGTCTCATAACTTCTTTCCACGCGCGTCACTCGACGCTTCAAAATCGCGAACTCATGAATGTCCTCACGATCTACCGCGGTCCTATAGCGCGGCAGCATATTGCGATACACGTACACAAGCTGTTCGTCCAGACTCCACGACGGGCTCATGCGATCAAAAAGAGCTAACATGTATGTGAGATACTCCGCGAAAGGCTCATGTTCTCCCTGAGTCCGCCGAGCAGCCTCATCCCGTAATGCGAACTGAAAATCCGGGTTTCTGAACCGGACGCGCCACGCGGCAACGAACTCCCGCCACGAGTGCAACTCCGCTCGTTTATGCCGGAACCAGTACAACGCGGTACCCGATAAGAAAAATGGCAAAGATTTCAATAAATCTTCGTCGCTAACCGGTAGCAACGCGCGTCCCTCCTCGATTCGCATAAGGAACGTTTCCGCGTCACTCCTGCGCGCCCCCGTGAAATTTAAATTCCATCGTTGCATGATGTTATATACGTCCATCACGGACGACGTACCCCGGTTAAACGGGCGGCTATTCTCCGATGGCGCGACCGCGCGGGCCTCCTCCGACAACGACGGATGGCGTAAATCGTGACTGAACGCGAGGAGGCGCGACGCTTGGATAACCTGGCCGTCGCGCGATCCGTTCCCCCGAGATGGAGATTTCCACGTAACCCGGCCCCCATGTCGAACCGCTCGCTGGGGCTATCCGATCTCATAGCCCCGGTCTCGAGAGGAGCCAAAAGTTCCAATTCGCTATACGTAGGCGAGTGCGTGGAGTCTAGGCCGAGAGTCTGGTACCGCTCATGACGCGCAAGACGTGCCCTCATGATAGTTTCGGTACCCTCCAATCGCAAAGCGCATTTCTCTAGTTCGGCCTTCAACTCGGCCGCCAACAGCTCGTCAATCCACTTTAATTCCGACATCGCGAGGGAAATTTCAAAGAGAGGGAGGAAGAAAAAAAAAATTCTGATTTGCGAGCCGACCGATCAAAAGGCTCGATATAAGAGCAAAAAATCGACAGCCAGTACGTACCGTGAGCTCCCCAAAATACTCTGATTAACTATTCGCATGCGAGTAGCAAGTTCGAGGAACGCGCACAAAAGGTTCAGCTAATCTTTAATAAAGATAAGAAAATTTTTCCGCCGCCTTTCGCGATCACGTCCGCTAGAAACCGTACCAGCAACGAAACGCAATCACGGACGCCAAATAACCGGAAGACAGCGCAAAAATCCTATAGCGTAATTCTGGAGCAAACGTAACCCAAGCAGTACGCGAAATTCGCTGAATATCATCAGCCAAAATGCGTCAATTATGCGATCACTTCATCAAAGTACCGAATGCCCGAAATTCCATGATCATGCGCACGCGGGATATACGAAAATACAATATAATTTCAACACAAGTAATACAATATAATTCAATACAAAATATGATTTAAATAAAAATACAAAAATGCCTATAAAGAGAAGTAAGGATTAGCACGACAAGCAATCAAAATATACAAAAGTTTCAAAATTTTCACATCAAAAGATATCAAATTTCAGAAAAGAAAATAATTCAATTTAATGTTGAGTCTACTCAAGTGACCTCCACAAATGTCCCATCGAAGAAACACGGATACAAGAACTAATTTAAATTTATTTATTCAATGTTCTCTGTAGGATAGAGCGAGTGCAAAAATGAAAATAAAGAGAAAATGTAAAAAAAAATGAGCAAAAATTAAGGTGTGATTGATTTTAATTAAATAATTGACGATACTGCCAGAAAGGAAAAGTAAGAGCAACGAACAGAAGTGAGGGTGCATCTAATAAATAATAAAGTTAGCAATATTTCAAAGGTGAAAAAGTCCGAAAAGAACTAAAATCTCTAATTTTGTACAAGCAATTCTTCAACGCAAAGAAGAGAAAAGGAAAATATATATTCCATGTGACAAAACAAGAAAAAAAAATGAATTGAAATCCGCGGCGTAATTCGGAAACGAATAATAAACGGTAATATTACATTCGATACAATTGGCGAGCATAATAAAATTTTGACTATTTCTCAATTACGCAATCTCAAAAGCCGAAAATTACAGCAAAAACAAAAGCGAAAAGAATATTAGAATCCCGTAATCAATGGATATTTAAATAACATAAAGAAGTAACCGTCGTGTAATCCACACGTTCCCGTACATTCACGCGAATAATAGCGAATGGAATATACAAAAAAAAATAACACGAAAGCGGAGACAGACGCGATATAACGAATTATCGACAGCACGAATCATTCAATAACAAGATCGATCATATTCGGTCGTATACATGTTCAATACGTTCGAAATCAACACGATGATATCGCGAAAGAAATGTCTTTCAATCGATGATCGATAATAACATTGATCTAATCCGAATAATATCGAATAATACAAATCTTAATATCATAAGGCACAGTTCAATATTAATACCATTCCACAAATAAATATTACAGAGCAAATAATATTCACAGTTTCATCCAATGATCTCATCAAAATAAATAATCTTCACATAAATTCAATAATAGGCAGACACAAAATAAATTCAAATATGTTCAAATATATTCGCAATTTTCTCAGAAATACCGCTCTCGATCCTCAAATTCCGCTCTCTCAACACGGAAATCTTTTCGAACATCCCGTATTAATTTTTAAGAGGCCCCACGTTGGGCGCCAATTTGTGACCGTGAAATTTCTTATTTTTTTTTCTGAACGGGGAAGTTATTACGGGGAAGAGAACCGATGGTGTTGGTCCACGGCACACCTTCGGCACGATCACCCTCCATCGAATCGGCGGTCGCACCAAAAAAAAAGAACAAGAATTTCTGAACGCCAGGCGCGAATATCTGCGTCGCGCGATATTCGCAAAGAAAATCGAAGAGCCGATCGTGACAGCCCGAAATCTCGGTAGCTCACGCAAACGAACATCTTTCAGTTTTCATCCGATTGACTTGAAATTTTAACTGTAGCTTCTTGATATGATTATCTAGTGAAGTACACACGATTTTAGCGATTGGTTTTTTTAAAAAAAAGTTGCAAACAATTAAAGTCATTTTTTTTGGTCAAAAATGCAACTTTTTGTTTAAACGGTCGCCATTTTGCGAAAAATTGATATTAAACTATTATCGTGTGTACTTCACTAGCAAAACGAATGTAGATTATGAAAAATTTGTTTTTATTGTTCCAGATGCTGATGGGGCTGCGTAATGTGTCCGGCCGCGGAACATCTTTTTAAAATACTACATAACTTATCATGTTCTAGAGCCGCCATTTTGTTTTAAATTTCAAATAAAAAAATTTTTTTGTACTCTTGAAGAGTTGCCCTATCGATTGGTATATTATTTGTAAAATCTTTTTCCCAAAATCCATTTTAAAAAAATCCTGAAAAAACCCTTGTTTTTTAGCCTTCACATAGGTATAACCCCTTAAGAGAATATTCGATTGTGATTGGTCAATTTCTTAAGTCTTACGCCTTAAATCTCCTTAAAATTTCATTATAGACGACGCTTAATGTAGTGTCTATAATAAGATTTTAAGGCGAATGTTCAAAATTGAACGAATCTGCCAAAAAAAATGGGCAGAACACTTCGCGATCGCAATTGTAATAACCGCGCGCATAGCGGCGACCAACGCGCGCGCGCAGCGCTTAAAAATCTCCACGAATCCGAGCGCGACACTTTGCTTAAAATTATTAACGCCTTTTCTATCAAACGGTCGCCCGAAGAGAGTGACAAATATCAATAACGATTTTGACTTTGGAAAGGATAAACAAATGAATCAGACCAGAAAATTCGAAGACTAGAATATTCAAGCAACTTCTCGCATTATGTTGCTATATAAACCTCTTCGCACGACCGTCCTCCCTCACTAGAGTTTTGCATTTCGAAGCAAAAGTACTCCTTGAAACGATTCTTCGAAAAAAGCCAGAAGTTCCCGCTGCCTTCTGGAGTCCGTCGCTCGCGGACCGGTCGTATTTCGTCGCTTTGCGAAATATAGTCGCGTTTTCTCCTCGCGTTATCACGATAGAAAGGTAACAGTTGTATATAATTTAGAAATAGTGAATTTTTTATTTTGTATCAAGACTAAGTATGAATAAACTCAAAGGATAAAACTTCTCTCACTTTCGCTCTGTTTCCTACCGCGATCTTGCACATTTTTTGCTCCTTCGAGCCGGATAACTCTTCCGTGCTTGTGCAGTGCGTGATCCGGTCTTCACGTGTGCTTTCTCTGTGCTTCGGAGTTTACCGCCTGAAAGGGAAGCAAGTGACTATGAGTGTCGAGATAGTAAAATTAGCGGACGCTCAAATAAATCTTTTCGGAAAGATCGCTCGCACTGGCGAGAATCTCCGTAAAATTGGGACTGCAAAAACCACTCAAGGGATCGTCGAAGCTTGCCTGCAGGGCCTGGAAAAAAAGTGGAGCAAGTTCGATCAACAGGACGATGAGCTCTTTCCTCACCGAGATGCGCTTCTAGACCATGAGTATTACAAGCAGGATTTACCTTTTCTGGCCGAGGAAGCCTACCTGCAACAAAAGGGCGCTCTCTTGGAACTCCTCCAGGGCTTTAACAAAAGGGAAGCGAAAGCGGCTGCGGGAGTTGATTCTCTGCCATCCCATCCCCCTCGCACTACGCTGCCGCGGATCCAACTGCCGCATTTCTCGGGGAAGTACGAAAACTGGCCAGCCTTCAGGGATCTCTTCAACTCCATAATTGAAAGGGATGTCTCTATAACGCAAATAGAAAAATTACATTATTTGAAAACCTGTTTGAAGGGCGAAGCTGAATTATTGATCCGCGATCTATCTACAACGTCCGAGAATTTCACTAGAGCCTGGGACACGCTAAGCGCGTACTATGAAAATAAGAGACTCCTAGTGCGTGTTTACTTCTACTTTTTTCGCACTCCCAAAGATTAAAAATGAATCGGCAGCGGAATTGTGCAAGGTATTTCACGTAGTAAAGTCGGTAGTCAGCTCCCTCGAAATCATAAATCGGCCGAGCTCTAGCTGCGAAGATTTATTCGTTTATCTCGCGGTCGAGTTGCTCGACACCCGCTCCCGTCGGGAGTGGGAAAACTCCATTAGTGATTCGGTAGAACCTCCTTCGTACAAGGTTCTCGAACAATTTCTCGAGCGACGATTGCACACTCTCGAGTCGATGTCGCCGGTTAATAAAGTTGATCGTACGTCCTCGAAGTCAGAACCAAAGACGACGCGGAGCCATCACGCGCGAAAGCAGGAGCCGAAGTCGGAAGCACCACGCGGACGGTGTTCTCTCTGTCAGAAAGACCATTTTGTAATGTTATGCGACTCCTACAAGAAGAAGACCGCATCGGATCGCAAGCAGCACATTGAGGACAATAACTTGTGCGTCAACTGCCTCGGGCGCCACAAGGTTGAAGATTGCAGCTCGAAAAAAAACTGCACCACGTGCGGAAATCGGCACCACACTTCCTTGCACGACGCGTTCCGGGAACTCGAGATCGCTACAAGCACGAACGTAGCCCTGCGAAAAGCCGAAAATCACTCCTCCGTTCTTCTGGCAACCGCGCGCGTTCGCGTAGCCGACCGCAACGGAAATTGGCATCCCCCTCGTGCCCTACTCGACCAAGGCTCCGAATCGTCTATTATTTCTCATCGTCTTGTGGGAAAGTTAAATCTACCGCGTTCCCCGGTACGGAGTCGGCGGCCAGAAGACAAGCACATCGCGGAGTCGAGTCACGCTCACCATGGCTCCTCGGAGTGAGGGTCCTCCAATTCAGCTAACCGCTCTGGTTCTTCCGCGCCAACTCACTGCCTACTCCGGCGCGAGCACGCTCGGCTCCAGGACTTGGCCGCACCTCCAAGGAGTACTACTCGCCGATCCTGACTACAGCGCTGAGGATCCAGTAGATCTCATCCTTGGCGCCGATGTTTATGGCGAAATCCTCTTGCCTGGCCTGCGGAAGGGCACTCGTCACAAACCTGTAATTCAAAACACAACTTTAGGATGGATACTCGCCGGCGCCGCCAAAAGCGGACCCTCCCCCACAACAATGCGCTCTCACCAATGCCAAGTGGATGACGACCTCTCCGCGATGATGCGACGCCTGTGGGCACAGGAGGAGCTTCCATCCGCTACACCTGCTCTCTCTAAGGGTGAGGTCGAGTGCGAGGAGCACTACGTCCGCACCCACTTCCGGAAGCCCGACGGCTGGTATGTTGTGCGGCTGCCTCTAGCCACATCCTTACCCGATCTCTCCGGAACTCGTCGCATAGCTCTTCGCGCTCTGAATGGAAATTCGCTTTGTTAAGGATCCCTCGTTCTACTCTCTTTATTGAGAATTTATGCAGCAGTACATGGAACTCGACCACATGCTGCCGGTGCAAGCTCCAGCTAACGGCACGACAGTCTGCTATTTACCTCATCATGGAGTCCTGCGGGAATCTAGCGTCACGACCAAACTCTGCGTGGTCTTTAATGGCTCAGCGATCGTGACAACTGGCTCTTCTCTAAATCAACATCTGCACTGCGGACCCAACCTACTGCCGACTCTAGCTAACGTGCTTCTTCGATGGTGTCGCCATCGCTACGTCCTCGCCTCGGACATTGAAAAGATGTACCGGCAGATCGAAGTCCATCATCAAGACAGAGATCTGCAAAGAATACTGTAGTGATCAAGCCCTGAGGAGAACATCCAGGAGTACCAACTGAAAACGGTAACTTACGGACTATCCTGCGCACCATTTCTGGCGATCCGCACGCTGCACCAGCTTGCCCTCGATGAGAAGTCAAGCTACCCTCGGAGCCACTGCCCTTCTCAAGGATATTTATATGGACGACGTCCTCACCGGCGCATCTACGATCGAAGAAGCCAAGGAATTTCTATGACAGCTGATCGGAATCTGCAGGGCGGGCGGTTTTCCGCTTAAAAAATGGTCCGCCAACGATACCGCTCTACTCAGCGACGTACCCGCCGAGGACCGGCTGCGACGTGAACCTCGGTGGTGGCTACCCGGAGAAAGTCAAGTCTCTTTCAAGAGACTTTGGGCTTGCTTTGGCATCCTCTCGAGGATTCCTTTTCCTTTTCCACCGCGTTTACCCAGCCGGACGTCCTCTTAAAACGCACAGTCCTCTCCTTGACAGCTAGGTTGTTTGACCCGCTGGGATGGTTCTCCCCCGTAACAGTACGGGCCAAAATCTGGATCCAAGCCGCCTGGTTGCGAGGCGTCGAGTGGGATGACCCCTTACCCGAGACGCCCATCAATGGAGAGGCTGGCAGTCGGAGCTCCCACATCTAGGAGACATCCGGATTCCTCGCTGGTTAAAGTCTGAGCCGACTGACAGTAATCCGGAAATTCATGGTTTCGCCGACGCTCGGAGAAGGCTTTCGCCACAGTAGTATACCTGCTCACACGGGACAATCAAGTCCAGGTATCTCTTCTCTCAGCCAAAACTAAAGTCGCGCCTCTTAAGCAGGTTACCTTACCTCAGTTGGAGTTGTGCGCCGCTACCCTGCTGACACGGTTCGTCGCGCACATCCGACTTGCTCTGGATGCCTTGACCACTCCGACGCATTTGTGGACCGACTCAACCGTCGTCTTAGGATGGATCCGAGGCCACCCAGCATCCTGGAAGACCTACGTGGCTAACAGGGTCAGCGAGATTCAGACCACGTTACCCGACGTCGCGTGGCACCACACTCCTGGAGGAGACAATCCAGCCGACTACGCTTCCCGAGGCCTGTCTCCCTCGGAACTGAAAGACCACCCACTCTGGTGGAGCGGCCCACTCTGGTTGCAAGGAGGTCCGGAACAATGGCTGCTCGATCCTGTCAGCACCCACGACGCCGACCTACCTGAGCGGCGTTTCGGCGTACACCAAACTACTGCGGCCAATGATTCGGTCGATGAACCGGAGCTTCTAACCCAATACTCCGAGCTACACCACCTATTGAGGATCATTGTCTGGTGCCGCCGTTGGTTACGCCTTAGGAAGACCAAGGGAATTGAGCAGGGAGGCGGTAGCAACCTCCCGGCGACCGTACTGCTACCTTCCGAATTAGATGAAGCGCTGACTAACTGGATTCGGATAGTCCAATCTATCAACTTTAAGAAGGAGTTAAAGTTCGTGCACAAAACCGCTCCATTTCCTAAAAAAAGCATGCTAGCCAAACTAGGCCTCTTTGTCGACAGCAAGGGTATTCTTCGCGTCGGCGGACGGCTGAGCAATGCTGCGATAACACGCGAGGCGAAGCACCCGACATTACTTCCCAGCGCCTCTCATCTAACACAGCTGCTGATCAAGGCCACCCACCTGCGGACACTGCATGGAGAAGTGCAACTTACCCTGGCCGCACTGCGCCAGGAGTACTGGGTGTTACGCGGAAGAGCTTTGGTGAAGAACTTTATTCATCGCTGCTTGCCGTGCGTGCGTTGGCGGGCGGCTACTCCTCAACCACCAATGGGTAACTTGCCCGCCCCGAGAGTCATTCCATCACGGCCGTTTCTTCACACTGGCGTCGACTACGCTGGACCTGTCTGGTTACGCACCTCCAAGGGCCGAGGTCATCGTGCTTATAAGTCATTTCTCGTAATTTTTGTCTGTCTTAACTGCCGCGCAGTCCTTAATGTCGCTTCCGACTATACCTCCGATGCCTTCTTGGCCGCTCTACGTCGGTTCATCAGTCGTCGCGGCCTATGTAAAGTTCTCTACAGTGACCGCGGAACTAACTTTGTAGACGCCGATAATGAGCTCCGAGCGCTTTTTTCCGCCAACAGCAAGGAAGGACATCAAATCCGCATTCACCTAGCAGATGAGAGAATCGAGTGGTGCTTTAATTCGCCAGCCGCTCCTCTTCGACCGCCACTTCGGCGGTCTCTGGGAAGCAGCCGTTAAATCGGTGAAGCATCACCTTCGCCATGTGATCGGAGACGCCAAATTAACTTACGAGGAGATGGCCACACTTCTAGCGCAGATTGAATCCTGCCTAAATTCTCGCCCACTTCAATCCATGTCGGACGACCCAGAAGACCTAGAAGCGCTGATCCTTGGCCATTTCCTCGTAGGCACTGCGCTCAACGCCATCCCGACTTCACTACTTACTGAAGAGCCTAAGTCGCTACTCACCAGGTGGAAGCTGCTTAGTCAAATGCGGGATAGCTTCTGGACCCGATGGTCGCGAGAATATCTCCACTCTCTAATACATCGACCGAAGTGGTTCAAGGCCGACGAGGAAGTCCGCATCGGCCGCCTTTGTCTGCTCCGTTGCGAAGTATCACCTCCCAACAAATGGCCCCTAGCCAGAATCGAAAGCGTACCCTGGGGGAGACGGACTCGAGTCGTCCGAGTTCGCACTTCCACCGTAAACTTTACGCGATCTGTAACCAAATTAGTGCTCCTCCCCGTCAGCTCCTGCGCCAGAGAAGACGGCAAGTCGTAAAAAAAATATTGTTTTTTTGATTAATCAGTTTTCTATCAAAACTAAGCTTAGTAGACCTACTTTTGTCTACCCAGTACTATTGGGAAACATTACCACGCATCACCCACTTACGCGCCACATGGTACCGTGCCTTCGTAGACAAAAATTAGAGGGTCTTCTTGGTCGTATCGGTTCCCATATGAGGCGGGCGGAATGTTCAAAATCGAACGAATCTGCCAAAAAAAATGGGCAGAGCACTTCGCGATGGCAATTGTAATAACCGCGCGCATAGCGGCGACCAACGCGCGCGCGCAGCGCTTAAAAATCTCCACGAATCCGAGCGCGACACTTTGCTTAAAATTATTAATGCCTTTTCTATCAAACGGTCGCCCGAAGAGAGTGACAAATATCAACAACGATTTTGACTTTGGAAAGGATAAACAAATAAACCAGACCAGAAAATTCGAAAACTAGAATATTCGAACAACTTCTCGCATTATGTTGCTATATAAATCT